CTGAATAATAAAGTCAGGTAAACTAAGAGCGTGCAAGATAAGTGATCGCCTGGAGACTCAGTGATTAAAATCGCGAGCATAAATTCAATAAAAAGAACAATCTTCTTGAATAATTTACTAATAAACTGACGGCTAATACGTTCGAAACATGATAATCGTCAATAAATTGAATCAAAAGCAACTATAAGTGATATAAAGAAACTACCGTGAAGCAATTATAAGTAATATAATTATAGGTAGTATAAAAACGACGAATATTAATCATTTAATCTGATCTAAAAGGTCTCAAGACGTCTAAAGAAAAAAAATAATTAGATCATTAAGATACGTACTGATGGACTACTATGCCTGTTTTTTCCATCATCTCCCGTATATTGTATACCTACGTTCGACGTTTGCTCTTCTGCAAAAAAAATGTCGCGAAAAATGCAAGAGAGAATTTTTTCTCGTAGATTCTTCGACAAGTCGTCGCGATTAAAGTAGAACCACTAATTGATTCACCTTCGTCCTTTATTCCGCCTACATGTAGACGCAAGAAGAACACTCGCCTCGAATTTATTGTCTGTGGACAAATGCAACGCGAAGTGGCACACAAAGTGAATCGATTAATGCTAGGGAATAGGCCACGGTAAATTGTCCGTGGCGATACCGGCCCATCGCCCGCTATTCTCTTCCCCTTTGTTCCTTTTTCCTTCCTCCCCGTCTTTTCGTTTATTTTCCTTCGCATTTTCTTTTCGTCTCGGCATCGTCACGTTCCACTACCGATATTAGCACCGGCTGATCCGTTTGCGTCACGACCGTGAACGCTCGCCCTCCTTTCGCCGTTCGTAGATTCGTCGAGTTAATGTATCGGCGTCTTGCAAAGTGCAACGCGTCCTCGGATATGAATTTTTAAGCGGAAGATGATTGATTAGATGGATCGATTAATGTGAGAAACGGCTGACACGGCTGGTGTGAACTCGTGCGAGGAATGCAGCCTCGTGATTTAAAATTCAAAAAAGCTATTTGCATGCCGGATGATTATTTAGAGCTTGTAATTTAAAGTTTTTTTTTTAAAGGAAATTAAATATACATAAGAGAGAGGCAAGTAAATTAATACTAAAATGACATTGATATAAAATATGAGCAAATTGTATGTATACGGAAAAAAATTGACCAACTCTTAATACATACTTCATTGAATAGTACTAACAAGTTGTAAGTAAACATTTATTTACAGTAAATAAATATATTTACTCAATAAAGAAAATGATAGTTAAATCAAACTGTTGGTTTTTGTATCAAAAATAAATATATATTTATATTTAGTAAATATTTACTTAGAACTATCCAAACAAATATTTAGATTTAGTTTTTTTCAGTATACATATTTCATAAAAGAAAGAATCCTACTTTCGGTTAAAGCGGATCTTGACGTTTGATAATATTCGTATGCAAATTTGCAAGACTAGTCCGACAAACTGATAAATCGACTTACAGTTTATAGAACTAAAAAATGTACTTGCAAATTTGCATATCAACGTTATCAAGTACCAACATCCGCTTTGATTGAAAATAGAATTCTTTCTCTTACTTAATTTATCTTTATCGGTTTCATTTATAATTTTATTTATAATTTCATTTATAATTACGTATTTTTTATTGGATATCAAATGATAA